GGCGAGTAGAACATGGCGACGTCGAGCGGAAGTCGATGGACGTGAACGGTGTGGAATCGTAGCAGGACGAGGCAGTCATCCTTCGCGCCGGTCATATCCTCGAATACCGCTCCTCAGTGCCCTTCTCCTCCCGCTTGTCGCCGCCTGTAATCAGCAGAATCATCGGAGCCAAGAAAGCTGCAATGAATGAGTCACCATCAATCTGCCCCTGCTACTTAGGTTAATTCTAACTCTTACACCTCCCCACCCTCACAAAACATCCGTCCTCGGAGGTGGAATCTGATACATAATAGTGGAGAGGGAAAGTTAACCGGAAATTGTTGTATCTCAGCAGGTTCGAGAATGTTTTACGCGAAGATGTTTGCAAGCTGGGATGCGGTGATGACCGTGCGATGTTCGTAAGCCCAATGGATCAACGTGCCCCAGTTGTGCAGGCCAAGAAGTGCGCTAACATTGGCTAGAATAAAAAGATCGTCGACAACGTGTGATAGCGACGTTTGACCTCTTTAGGTCGTTTATGAATTCTCCTGACGAACGGTCAATCGTCGTGCGAGTCGTCAATATTACTCAATATTATTATAGTCGATATCCATTTCTCTCCCTTGTGTGGAGTCAATCGTGAAAAGGTGTACGCTCAGTTTCGCTGCCGCATCTTCCATAAGACGTTGTTGGTCATTATAGAAGGTAATCACTCCGATGGTATATCCTTAGCGAGCAATCCGCAAATCAGCTCCTTGCAGCACTGCGTTTTCTGTTCGTTGGAATGAGACTGCGATCTGATAAACTCGACCTGCCCGGAACGTTGATGAGCACTCGTGGTAATTCAGGTTTCGCTACTTGATGTGACTCGTGAGCATCTGTCGCCGTCGTGCTGGAGTGGCGCTAACGAGGTTCCGTCGTATACGAGGCTGTCCGGTAATGCGTTAAGTGCAGGATGAGCTCTATATGGAGTGACGACTTGAACCAGCGGGGTTTCCTCTGCCATTAACAACTCCATGATATCTTTGGCGCCCGACGTGCAGCTCGCGAAGACTGGGGGCAATGGACGCGAGGTTCTGATTGATTAACGTCTCCGATATAGATGTGCTCAGCTAGAGGGAATCGTCCTAGCACAGCGACGACAGCGGGTTCCGTTCCTATAATTATTTTACTTATTGACAACATGTCCGAAAAAAGTCCTCCTGGTTTGGTTATGATCTGCAGCGACGCCGTGGTTATACACATAATGGACGGGAAGCGCACTCGTAACATGATTTTGACCGCGTCTTCGGTGGCCTCCGAGTTTTGATTTTCGGCTATACGGGACTCCTCTCGCTCTTCACCCGTCGGGTTGGTGGTGGTGTCTGGTCTGAGAATCAGGCGCTCTATAAGTTCACGGCCTCGGCTATATGTCGTTAGACGGTAGGTTTCTTCTTCCGTGAATGAATCAGAGTAGTTGGCCAGAAAACCCTTGAGAAGATGGTGCGGATCGACAGCTGTGGTTGATGCTCCTTCCTTCAGTGTGGAACCGGATAGAAATCTCATTATGTGTAGGTGATTGTAGTCTGTCAATTGCAGCAGAGCGTCTGTAAATTGGGCTAATGAGACTGCTATGAGGGTCTCGGAATGAGTCTCATAGCGGGATCCGAAGAAGCATACCGAATAAACGACTGAGTATCGTACGATCTTACACAGAAATGCTGGAGTATAGTATAGTTGCGTGACACATTAGGCCATAATGTTGTGAACAGTTTGTGGAGTGAGGCAGTAAAAACAGTGCAGAGGGACTCTCCGATGGGAACAACCATGCCTTCTGAGCGGATCCCGGCTGGTCATCGAGATAAGAAGTGCCACGGTACACAACAACAGCCTAACGTCAGGAAGAGATGCTGACAAGGAAGGCTCCCTGCAGGAGGGTGGGATTGCCCGAGGAAGGATGCTTGCGTTAACTCGTTTCACGTTGAAGGAGAGCAGCGACCCTAGCCTTAGACTGTTTGAGTTGATCTTGCGTGTCTCGGACAATAGCATTTAAGGAGGCAATGTCGGCTGTGGAGGCTGCGCTGCCGAGCTGTACCTCCTCGACCGATTGGGGTGGTGCGGTCAAGAAATGAGAGTGTTCCGAGGTAAGCTAGCGGAATACCCACTGCGCGGTACCGTTTTCGGGTAACGGCCCCTACTGGCAGGGCGTGAAAGCATCTGACGACGAGGAGAGGGGCACCTTGAGGCAAAGTGGCCCATTCCCCCGCAGTTGAAACACCTAATCCCTGGTGGGGATAACCCACCTTGTGGGGGCCCTGGTGGAGCTGGAGATTTCCTGCGTGGGAGTCCGTGCGAAGTCTATTATAGCCGCGTGGTGGTGGTTGAGTTGAGGCACCCCGACCAGTGTGATGGCCTGGACGAGCCAAGATTTGGATTGGGGCATGAGGAGAAGTAGGGTGAAGTAGACGATCGGCAGTGGCTTCGCTCAGCAATTGTTCGGCCGTCTAAGCTTTATTACCCGCCTGCTCAAATTTGTTGGTCCGTCTAGCTTCACAATTTAGCGAATGTCTCCGCACAAGCGCGAGACGAACTCCCCAAGAATGTGCTCCTTCTGCGCAGCTGAGTCCTGGCCAGCGGTCGCGGCTCGTACCAGATCAAGGATATGTGTTGCGAAGGACGTGCTTGATTCACCAGGCTCCTAGCAGCAGGTGGACAACTTCTGACGAGCTACGTAGCGCTGGTGTGGGCTCTCAAAGAACGTCATCAAGTGAGCTACTACCGTCGCGTATACTTTCTTGTCCTGCGCATCCAGTTCTTCGACCTTCTCGCGGGCTTCTCCGTTGAGGTGGCCGATGAGGAAATTCGCTTGTTATTCGTTCGACAACGGTGACGGTCTCATGCGCATGATATCCTCCAAGCGGCACAACCAAATTGAAAATTGGACCTCGTTTTCTTGGGGCCCGAAAAGGGGCCACCCTCGATTGCAGTTCCGGTTGAAACATGGCGACGGAAGGGAGACTGTCCAAACGCCTGCCAACTGCCCCGAAGGACTCGCTGAGTTTTTTTTGACAGCCTCGTTACTTTCGTTGATCCTTCGTGGAGGGCTGCTGAAGCACAAGTGTCACATTGGCCACATTTTGGTCAACGCCGCCTGGGTGAGAACTCGGATCATCTCGGCGTCCCGACCATGCAGTGGAGCGTGTCCGAGAAGTCGTGGCACAACATGGTGAATGGTGGTGGTCCCATGTGGCCTTCCGGCTTAAAAGCTTTAGTGTCGTGTGGTTGGGCAGAAGCACTCACGGTCGACGGGGAAGAAGACTTGAACATGCTACGAGTAGTAAGAGTAATCCCATACGAGACTGAAGATCTCGAACCGCGGTCGGTTAGGCTGAGCTTTATACCCATTGTGGGTGGGGGGAGGGGTGGGAAGAATCCCTGCGATTTTCCCGAGAATCAGAGTGCATGGCTTACATGTGATGGGAAAGAATTAATCGTGAGAATGGCGGCGTTACCGTATTATACGCCTGCATAGTTTGCGCTGATGAAGCTCAACATAAGCTGAGAAGGGAACGTGAGATGGAATGTTGTGAGACGGGCGAGCAGGGCAGACAAAATTATCAGATATAAGCAGTGTAAGCCTTAGAGGCGAATGGCATTCGGAAGGAAATCGCGGAGATAACAGACCAGGGCGCGGCCGGTGGGAAAGAATGCAATAGTAAACATGACCGCCGTCCGCATGTCGGATGTGGTAAGAAGTACAGTAAGAAGGAGCAAAATCAAAGAATGACCCTCGAGCAATAAGAAGAAACAAATAAAAGAATGACCCTCGAACAATAAGAAGAAACAAATAAAAGAATGACCCTCGAACTAACATTCTCACTCTTACAACAATTCTAACTCTTACAATACAGAACGGGGCCGTTNGACGTCCGTGACCGATCATTTTGTTGATTGTCGCATTGTTTTGTATACATATTTTTCGGGTAAAATTCGGTAAAACATTCGTTTACGAGTACGAGCCCTAAGCACTGAGCGCTTCAAGTTCGAATTTTGTTGCATATTCGTCTAGTCTTTGTCCATAACCAAGCGAACCTCTGTCTCTGAGGGCATCATACTTTTGGAAGTATGTGTTTTGAGTAAATGCATTCCCGGGTAGCAGTAAGGATAGAGCCATGTGAATGGATCTAACTGGCTTCTCCTCTCTAGGGTCCGATTTTATCGCATAGATGGATATGCGGGTATGCACATACTTGGGTGGATGTTTGCCAGTGTTTCTTGATTTATGTTTGTGCCAAAGAAGGGGAATGTATAACCGACCGTGCCCAAGCAAGCGACATTGTTTCCCTATCGGACGAGTTGTACTCAGATTACTGTACGGAAAGTAGGTACTGTATGATAGAAGTTTTGCTGATAATCGCAGGTTTTATTCAACAAAGAATCAGATGAAACACGGCTCAAACTGATGTTCAAAGGCACGGTTCACGATGAAAATGGTTTTTGAGATTTCCCCGTAGGATGAATTTGTGGTCCCCTCGTAAATCATATCTGGCGCTATCAGATCGGAAAACGGCCTAGTCGGGGAGTTATAAAGACTCAAAG